TCTGCGTTTTACCCAGCTGATGCTTGTTTGACTCCCAGTGGGGGAGAGAGGAGAGATTTGGTGTGGGCTGTGTCTACACGTGCCAGTTTTGGCCACGGAAGAGCTGTGGACTGGCAAACGTGGCCAAAACTGGAAACTCGCCAAACTGGTTTTTGTGGTGTCTGCCGTGGACAAACTTGGGGTCACATCCATCGCTCCCTGGGCGGCAGAAAGAGCAAAGCATTGTGGGCATGTACCCCCGCTCTCCCGTGCCTTGCATCACCTTCACGTACCAAGAGGCCTGTGGGAAAGCACAACATAGTGCTAGGCATGATGAGAACGTGACAAATGTCCTGCCAGCCACCTTCTTTTTTCTCCCAGACATCCCTGGGCTTCCGGCTTTCACGCCATCCCGAGCAACCGCAGCCAGAAAGCATGGATCCCAGGCTTCAGAGAGAAGGCAGACGGTGTGAGCCACAGGCGAGCACGGATATGCCCATCCCATTTGTGTGTGGGGGAGAGGGGGATGTGGGGCACAAGGAGGCCCCCAGTGCCTGTCAGGAGCTGTACATTGCCTGGCGCAGAGAGCGCCCTTGTCTGGGTCCACGATTGCGCAGCGGGGGGGAAATCGTGGCCTTCCTCTTGGCTGGGGTTTCTGCAGCACATGGAGCACAAGACAGTCCCAGGCTCAGTCGGGGCTGTGGAGTATGGGGTCAGCCCAGCTCTGCCCGGAGCATCCCAGCCCCAGGTGTGCATGGGGAGCGGGCAGAGTAGGGGAAAGTCGCCTGCTTTTCACAGGATCCCAGGGCAGGCAGAGGCCGCAGGAGTCACCAAGTCCAACCCCCTGCCCAAAGCAGGACCAACCCCAACTCAATCAGCCCAGCCAAGGCTTGGTTTAGCCGGGACTTTGAAACCACTAGGGATGGAGATTTCACCCCACCCCCAACCTAGGGAACCCATCCCAGGGCTTCCCCACTCTCCTTGGGAAACAGTTTTTCCTAATATCCAACCGAGACCTCCCCCACTGCAACTTGAGACCACTGCCCCTGGAGCCCGCCACTGGACCCTCTCCAATGCGTCCAGATCCTTTGTGTAGTCGGGGGCCCAGAACTGGATGCAATACTCCAGATATGGCCTCCCCTGTGTCAAATAAAGGGGAATGAGTGTGTGTCTGTATGTCCCTTTCCTGCTCCTTCCCTTCATTATTAGAGAATGTGTGCGTGTGTGTGTGTGTGTTATTAGCGTGTGTGTCTGTATGTCCCATTCCCTCTCATTCATTCATTATTAGTGTGTGTGTGTGTGTGTGTTATTGGAGTGTGTGTGTGTTATTAGGGTGTGTGTGTCTGTATGTCCCTTTCCCGCTCCTTCCCTTCGTTATTAGAGAATGTGTGTGTGTGTGTGTGTGTGTGTGTGTGTGTGTGTGTGTGTGTGTGTGTGTTATTAGGGTGTGTGTCTGTATGTCCCTTTCCTGCTCCTTCCCTTCATTATTAGAGAATGTGTGTGTGTGTGTGTATGTTATTAGACTGACATTGTGTGTGTGTGTGTGTGTGTGTGTGTGTGTGTCTGTATGTCCCATTCCCTCTCATTCATTCATTATTAGTGTGTGTGTGTGTGTTATTGGAGTGTGTGTGTGTTATTAGGGTGTGTGTGTCTGTATGTCCCTTTCCCTCTCTTCATTCATTATTAGTGTGTGTGTATGTTATTAGACTGACATACGTGTGTGTGTGTGTATGTATGTAAAAACAGACTTGTTTTTACACACACACACACACACAACACACACACCTGTTTTACACACACACACTCCCTCCGCTGTTTTATACTCACACCGTGTGTGTATAAAACGGAGGGGTGTGTGTGTGTGTGTAAAAACAGGGGAGGGAGGGCTTTCTGGACGTTGATGTAGAACAAGGCGCTAGGACACTGGCCATTTCAGTTGCGGGATCCCTCCCTGTTTATTTTTTCTCGCCCCCCTCCCAAATGATTTACGCTGCCGCAGGACCCCCGTTTCCTGGCGGTGAGGGGGGAAAAAAACTTCCGCCCGAACAGGGACTTGAACCCTGGACCCTCAGATTAAAAGTCTGATGCTCTGCCGACTGAGCTATCCGGGCTCTGCTAGAAAGCCTGATCCTTTCGCTTTGTCAAAGCCATCCCCGCCCTGTGTCCAGCTGGGAAAAGTTTGCCTTTAGTCTCCGTCTGCTGGAGGAATTAGTTGCCCGGGGACCTACAGAAAGGGATACGTGGCTGCTTCTTGTTGCAGCAACACCTAACTCCGCGGGCAGAGGTGAGCCAACAGCCCGGAGAAGGGAGGGGAATCTCTGCTCTTGTGACTAAAGACACAGGAACGTGCCTCCAGCTACATTATTGCATCTAAAAGGCGTGGGGTGGGGTTAACGCCTCGGTAAGTGAAAGCACTGACCGGAGTGAATATTTCAGAGACAGTCACCATGCCCCTTTCGGCACGATAAAGCCAGCTCTTTTGGTGTGCTAGTGAGTGACCCTCAAAGGAGGGCCTCTTTCCTTTTGCAGCTGGCTAATGGCTCACCCCCTTCCATATCTTGTAGCTATACCCCTGTTCAGAACCCCACCGGTGCACCTCTCTGTGAGCATGGTCTGTGTATAGCACCCATTCTGCCCTCTGACTTTTCTACATCTGGAGGTTGATTTACCAGTTTTCAGTCCCCATGTGAATAGGCCAAAACCTGCGATTAGGCCTGGCAAGACGCTGAACACTAACCTGCAGCACTTTCCAGAGCGTTTAGTACTTTCCTTTAAAAAACAGACAGACAAACAAATCCCCTGGACCTGGCTTTCCCCACACAAGAAAAAATAATAGCAGCCAAAATAGAACAGCTATATATTGATTGGGCACATGCCATCCAGCCCGGCCAAGCCAGTGTGGTTTTATCAGTGATGTACAAGGGAGCAAGGCCTCTAGACAGCCCACAGCACCCTGGTTTGCAGTGGGCGGCCCACAGAAAGCGTGGGTACAATCACACCAGAAGGAAACATGAGCGGTAGAAGGGTAGGACTCTCCCTTTCCTTCCTGGCCAATGAGACGCGGCGGATCGCAGGGCATCCAATCAGGAGCCGATCCCGAGCTTTTGAATTCCAAGGGCAAAGTTTGGCGCCAGCTCTCATAGGAGCCGCAAGGAGCTTTTTGGTGTGAACCCCCCTTGCCACAGTACAGGAAAAGGGTGCCTAAGGAACTCCAGCTAAGCAAGTGGGTACAGTGTGGAGAACAGCTTCCATGCTGTAAACCCATTAATACGCTTTCAGAGCGGAACAAATCAAAACAACGGGGGTAGAGCCACGAGCTTTCCTGGGCAAAACCCACTTCCCTCAGGAGTTTGAGGGAAGAAAAAAGGGGAACTCAAATTTACACAGACAAGGGAGAGAAGGAAACTGCATATTCGGAGTCACGCTTTTTTCTATCCACTCAAGGGCATGCGAAGGGGGCTTTGCCAGGGAAAGTTAATGCTGCTAGTAACCTGCAAGGCACCAATGGTTTTTTAAATCACCCAGGAGCAAAACACTTTAGAAACCCCTGATGACCCTAGTTAAGCCAGGAGTAGAAACGTTGAGTTTGGAAGATTTGCCTAGGCTCTTGTAAGTATACTAAGAGGAAGTTCACACACAGCACAGCGTCTACAGCTCTCTCATAGAGAAAGTGGGTGGCTCTTAAAAGAGCCTTTGGGTTTGAAGGGGGAGACTACACAAAGCCGTTACTTGGAGCTGGTGTACTTAGTCACGGCCTTAGTACCCTCAGACACGGCGTGCTTGGCCAGTTCCCCGGGCAGCAGCAGCCGCACGGCGGTCTGGATCTCCCGGGAGGTGATGGTCGAGCGCTTGTTGTAGTGCGCTAGGCGGGACGCTTCCCCAGCAATGCGCTCGAAGATGTCGTTCACAAACGAGTTCATGATGCCCATGGCCTTAGAGGAAATACCGGTGTCGGGGTGCACCTGCTTCAGCACCTTGTACACGTAGATGGAATAACTCTCCTTCCTGGTCTTGCGGCGCTTCTTGTCGCCCTTTTTCTGGGTCTTAGTCACGGCTTTCTTAGAACCCTTCTTAGGCGCAGGAGCGGATTTCGCTGGCTCAGGCATCTCGATAGCTAAATAAACACCACAACGCAGAAGCAAGTAACGCAATACCTGGCTCTGCCTGCTGCCCTTTATTTATAGAGCCCCCATGCAAATGAAGGTAGCTAGAGCCCAGCATTCCTATTGGCTGTTTCCGTACAGGGACGTCATTGCCACGGTAAAGGCAGATGCAAATTAGCGGACTCCAAATGCTGCGTTTCTATTGGGTACCAGCAGCCTCTTTCTTTTCTAATTGGCGGGGTGGAGAAGTGGCTTCTCCATTGGGTGTTTGGACCCCCGCGGCAAGCTCGCCTCATCCCCAGGAGGGAATAAAAGGCCGGCAGCGTGTTTTTTTTAAAAATTGTGTCTTTTTGTGTGGCTGCTGCAGTGTTTTGCTGCAGGTTACGCTATCATGTCTGGCCGTGGAAAGCAGGGAGGCAAAGTGCGGGCCAAGGCTAAGTCCCGCTCGTCCCGGGCCGGGCTGCAGTTCCCCGTGGGGCGGGTACATCGGTTGTTGCGCAAGGGGAATTACGCGGAGCGAGTGGGCGCTGGAGCACCAGTCTACTTGGCCGCTGTAATGGAGTATCTAACGGCTGAGATTCTGGAGCTGGCTGGCAACGCGGCCCGCGACAACAAGAAAACCCGCATCATCCCGCGCCACCTGCAACTGGCGGTGCGGAACGACGAGGAGCTAAACAAGCTGTTGGGGGGAGTCACCATCGCTCAGGGTGGGGTCCTGCCCAACATCCAGGCCGTGCTGCTGCCCAAGAAAACCGAGAGCCACAAGGCCAAGGGCAAATGAGCACAGACACCAGCTACACACACACACACCAAAAGGCTCTTTTCAGAGCCACCCACAACTTCAGTAAGAGCTTGGGAATCGCTTTATTTGTGAAGGGGGCGGGTGGGTGACGTGCCTGTGTCTCCCCTGTAACCTGTTTTCTGGAAGCTCGAGCTGTTGTAGCCAGCCCTGCGTATCCCTTTGAAAATACATTTTGAACTCTCCACAAACTCATAGTACCTGAGGGGTTTGCTTTGGATTAAGCCCACTCAGGATTTCTGTGCAGCTCTTGTCTGTATCAGTGGTAGGCAGCGTTGGCTGGGAACATGAGCGAGGCAAGATAATTAGCAGGGACAATTTTAAAGTTTGTTGCTTTCTGAAGCCCCTGTTTCATATGTGGCTGTCAGGCACCTCACCTGCTTCTCTCAGCGCTGCCCTAGAGCCTCTTGCTTGCTGTGCCAGGGCAAAGGAAGAAGAGGAGGGTTTGCTGATATCAGGGTGCCCCGCTCTCCATCCTGTACCCATCTCCACAGAGCAGAGGGGGGTGGGGATGGAGAGTTTGCTGGCTGCTTTTGGGAGTGGTACAGGACCAGAGTAGGGGTGAGCCTGCCATAGTCCCCTGCACCACCACTGGGAAGCCACCTGTGCTAAGTAGTGCCCAGCTGGAGCCTGCATTCCAAAACCCTGATTCAGTTCTGAATCCCTCCTGCACCCCAAACTGCTGCCCTAGTTCTGAGCCCCACTGCACCCAAACTCCCTCCCAGAGCCTGCACCCTCAATCCCCTCCTGCACCTCAACTCCCTACCCCAGGCTCAGCTCCAAACCCTTCCCACACTCAATCCTTTAGCCGAAGATCAGAGGCCGCATCCCCTTTCTCCCACCCCCCAGCTCTCTGCTCCCAGCCTGATAAAAGTGAGTGATGATGAGGGAGGGAGGATGGAGAGCAGGGATGGGGCAAGAGTGTTTGGGTTTGGGGTGGATCCTGGATTGCACTTAAATTCAAAAAGTGAGCTCATGCTTAAAAAGGTTGGAGACCCCTGGTCTAAAAGATGTGGAGCCAAGTCCACATGGCAGAACGTGTACTGTGGGGTGGACACAAACCCTTCATTCCACACCTGATTACATTAGCTCAGTGGGCTTCAGCCTTTTTACACCCAAGATCACTTTTTAAATGTCAAGGCAAGCTAAGATCTACCTCATCCCTTCCCCAAGACCCCACCCCTTTCTTGAGGCCTTGCCCTCTCTGTTCCCCTCCTCTCTATCCCTTGTTGTCCCCAGATGGTTGTGCTTAAAAGAAGCACATGGGATCTTTTTCAGGGGGATAAGGCAATATGTCACATGTATTGAGCATACATAGATCAATCCATACTTTGCATATGATACATTACACGCATGCACTCACACACAAGCACACGCCATCTTTCTGTTACCAATAGTTGCACCCCCTAACTACACTGGCCAGGTGAGTTAGATGGGGGAGGGGTGGAGCCGGGCCTCTGCTGATCCAGATTGATGCTCTGATGTTGACAAGATGAAAACCCAAGGTCCCTCTGCAAGATGCCTGGTATATATCCCAATGCCTGGTATATATCCCTCTCATGGAGCCAGTTAGTCTCTCGCCTTTTTTAATGCTGCTTCCAAGAGGGTCCTTCCAAGGGCAGGCACTTGCTGCTTGACTTCCAAGGCCGTCTATATTTCCAATATTCTTTTCAATGAGCTCACTTTGCAGGTATTGTCTTAGATCTGGCTCCCAGACCTTCTCCACCCTTGCAACTGCTGCTGGAGGTGCTCCCCTTTCAGTCTCCATTCACACCTCATTCATTTCAACAGGGCAATCAATGTAACTGTTAAATTTAATATTGCAACTGTTTTGTGTGTTTATTCACTACCCAGCAATAAATCACTTTCATTGTTAAGCTGGTTGCTTCTCTCTTTTTCTTTCTCTTTCGCTCACTCTTCCTCAAGGGGTGTTTTGGCTTCCCCATTCACTCTGCTGCAACCCATCTTATACCCAAGCTAAAGATCCCTGTAGTGCCCAAAATCCTGTGGGCTTTGTACATTGTGTGCTGTACCAGCGAATGACTGTGATGTGAAAGTGGGGATAGGGAGGTGCTGAACCTGGGGGCTTATGAGGATGGCAGCTTAAAGTCTGTTTAATCCAGCCCACTGAGTCCAAAGGCACATGGGGGTGCAGTGTGGCATTGCTGTTAAACCAGCCTGCTGAGTCCAGGGAGATATGAGGGGTCTGCTTATGAGTGCTGAGTACCCAGTCCTCTCAAACCTGCTCTGTTAGTGGGTGTGAGTGTCTGTCTGTTCCTGAGGTGGGAAGAACCCCATCCTGAGGAACCTAGTTCCTGCAGGAGAGCTCCATTAGAAGGGGGAATTGGCAGCAGGGAGAATCAGCTCCATAGGAGAGCACAAGTAAGCACAAGCAGCACACGGATAGAATTGTTAACCTCCCCCAGCCCCAAAAGAGTAACCCTGATAAATGAGCTTACCCCAGAGTATTGAGCGAATCTGGTAACAGAGGCCGGGGGCAGAGGGCAAGGTGCTGGTGGGGGTTTGAGTAAGAGACAGGTTGCTGGTGGGGGCCGGGGTAAGGTTCTGGGGCAGGGTGCAGGTGGGAGCTGGGGCTGGAGTCAGGGTGCCGGGGAAGGAGGCAGGGTACTGGTGGTTGCTGGAGCAGGAGGCAGGGTGCTGGTGGGGGTTGGGGCAGGATACTCGTGGGGGGTCTGGCCAGCGGGAGGTGACAGGGAGAGCTCAGCCAGTACCTGGGGATCCCATAGCC